CCACAGCCACCTCTTCCAGCTCTTCTGTCAGGATTCGAGGCGTTCCCAGACCTGGGAACACCTCCCTAACCTGATGTTCACCACTGAGTTCGAGGATGGCACCGCGAGAAGCACAGACAACCTTGCAGCCAAGGCAGCCACTTCAACAGTTGAATCATGGAAGATGACCCACTCTGACTCAATGTCCCCCACCTCAGCTGGGATGCAGTTAAACCTGACCTCTCCCGGAGGTGTGAGTTGAAGATCCTTCTGACAGGTTCTTCTGCTGATTATCCACGCTGCTGATTTCTTGCCTTTAAACTGCTATATGCATACCCATCTGCTCACAACAGACTCATGTTCAGGCTGCTGTTTAATACACCTTATTATATTAAGTTATTATTGTTTAGTGTTTATCTTAGATCCTTATATACTTTCTTGTTTTTTTGTTGTTGCCATTTTTGGGTGTAACTGGGACCTTGAGTAAACAATTTTGTTCCACCTCATGTACCACATGTGATGTGAATAACAATAAATAACCCTGATGAAAATAAGACACAGGCTTGTCCTTACCAACAGCAATGCCTGCAGGGCCCCCGAGCAGGCCGCCTACAAAGGCGGCTCCTCCGGCCACCATGGCTCCTTTGGTGGAGTTCTTCACCGCGACCTTGATCTGCTCATGAGCAGAGATCTCACAGCAGAGCCGGACAACATCATCCAGCCGCGGGCCCATCCGTGAGCGCGATGATTAGAGAGGCCCGTCTGGAAACAAACACCAAAAATGAATGCTCGCTTTCCAATTCTGAGAAATACTTCATTCAACCTTTATTTATACAGGTTAGTCTCATTGAGCCTCGAGGCCTCATTTACAAGAAAGACCTGATTTTAAAGAATAATAACAGAATACTACACAACAGTAGACATATAAATTGGATAAAATAAATGAAAGAGAAAAATATTAAAAAAAAAAAAAACCTAAACAAAAACAGCTACATTGCAAAGCCATGTAAAATAGTACAAACAGGAACAGGTCAAACCAACGAACATAAACAACAGGTCACGTGGCCCAACCAGGTTTCTCTTTCGTTTCATTCAGTTATAATAAACTGAACTAGTTCAAACAAATGGATAAATGCGGACATTTATAATCTTCAGTAACATCAGTACAAGTGTAAAACATGAAAGTAAAACATGTTAATATTTAGGCAGGTTCATTAGCATGAATGAGCTAGTTTAAAAACGCTAAACGATATTTAGTTATTGAGCATGCATCAGGATATTTAGTGCAGCTTATTACTAAGAAAATAAACTCCACACTGTCAGTCTCTGCAACCTAATGTTCCAACCAGCATTTTAAGGCAAAACTATATAAATTCAGATAAAATGTGGAGTGTAATATAACTTGTTTCGATTTAAACCGAAAATTAAAAAAAATGTTCGCACTGATTCACGTCTATTTTTGTGTCTTCTACGGAAACACAATGGGTTCTAAGTTTGGGACAAGAATTAGTTGAAAGAATGTCACATTTAAAATCACTTACTTTAGTTTAACCGTGGCTGGTTGAGCAGATTTTTGGGCCTTGCTCTCGACGAGAACGTCGACCAAAGCCGTGAACTTTGGATGGGCGGGGCAATGACGCACTTCCGCCTTCTTTTTTTTTTTAAAGTTCATCAAAGATTACTTAACTAAGACAAGATGTTCAGTCAATGCAGAAAAGAAAGTCAAAACAACTTATTTATTCAAACAGGATAACAGTTTTGGTATTTAATGAGCCTGTAACTCTTTATATTAATCAATTTACTTACGCCATTCTTTACACTTGGACATTTACTTCGAACCAGTCTTGGTAACTATGTATATGCCAGTCAAATGGTAGAAGAAGATGTTAATGAAGCGCTAAGGCCGACATGGCACGTAGCTTTGTCAGCTGGTGTGTGGACCCGCTGTCTTCGTGGAATCGGTGATGCTGCATTCAATTTTATTCGGAAATATAATAATCAATTTTATATTGGCCTCAAACCTGAACCTAAAAAAAAAAACTTAAAACATATGATTGATGCTATCACTGTCCATATTGATTGAAGTTTATATTAGTCGAAATTCCGCCTTTCTTAGTTGGAATTCCGTTTAACGTTCGACTATTCATCTGATTCTACAAATTGGAAAGCTAAAAATTCCGACTTCTCAGAAGAGATTGAATGCACCGTCATGTCACGGTCGAAATGTTAAAAACAAATGTATATATATGTCATCTGCTTTTGTGTGACTGAGCTTGCATGCTCGCTTGTAGCATTGTGGACATTTTCACTTCGAAATTTTCTCTAAAAAACAAAGTCTAACTCTCACCCGAAATGTCGAAAGAACAAAAGAAAGTCTTTTCAAAGTGGACTCACTTGTTGACATATGACGTAACAGTCTCTCTCTCTCTCTCATTGGACGAGACTCAGTGACGTTTCACACCGCAAAGACAACCCATCCGCCGCTGATAAACAAGTTTTTGATCACAACAATCACAGAAGAAGGAGAAAAAGGAGAAGACATCAGGATTGCTCGTCGTGAACAACATAATTCTGTTTGAGGAGGTGAGTGGACAGTGATCCCGTCTGTCTCTCTGCGCCTTTCAACTCATCCGTCTTTTGTTCTCTAGGAATTAAGTTAAGAGGAGACTGACTCTTCCTGCTCCAAAACTGAAATGTATTTATTTATTTGTTCTAACGTTGGATTTGGGGAGGTTGTCACCATGTATGCATCTGTTAGAGTCAGGATAAACAGGCGGTCCAAAGTGAACCAATAAGTGACAAAGCTCCAAGATTGGGTTACATAGTACACAGTGTTCCTACACTGCACCGTCATAGAATAAACTTAGGTCAGCATCACATGTTATATAATGTCCAGTCATGGTATGAAGAAAGAACACTCCTGCTGCAGGATAAAATCAAAAGTTTAGCATTATTTGAAGAAATGCATATTGGCATCATGCCAGAGTTTCTGTCTGTGGGTTTGGGATGACTCTCAGCTACCCTCACATCAAATATTACAGCTCAGTACATGTAATGCTGTTGAGGTGTAGACCGTATGTTGCACATAATCATTTGTAGTTCAGCTAATGAACATTTTCTTAAAGTTTAATTAAAATCTTTACAGAGGTGCATGACGTATGTTGCTAACAGACAGACTGACTTGACTTAATGGGGTAATGCCAGTGTTCTTAGATCTTATAGCATGTGTAGCACTCAGAGTACGTGTTGTTGATGACTCTCAGCTATCACCACACCAAAGTTTAGCTCAATATCTGTAAAATAGTCAGATTTATATCCATTTTTTATTTTTATTTACTAAGGTCACTTAGCTGTGGCAGTCATTTTAAACTGAACTGACTCCAAAATGTAACCAGTTTTACATGAACATGCAATTGATTTGTTTCTTAAAGTTAAAAAAGTGCACACAAACACATACAAAGTCAAGTTAAAACACTGTGGTGATGGGTGATTAAAAGATGGTGCTTTTAAAATCAGGTAAGTACACCATCAGAAGAGGAGAAGCACAACCATCATCCATAATGGCTACACATAGATTAGAAGGGATGTGCTCACTCACTGCTTCAACAGGATTTAAGAGGGTCAGTGGCATCAGGTACATGCCAGCTGTTCTATAAAAGCAGAATATTTGTTTTGCTCTGGAGCATTCAGGTGTTCCTCATCACAATGCCAAGGAGGAACAACATCAACATTGATCTCAGAGAGGCAACCGTTGCTGCCTGTAAATCTGGGAAAGATTAAAAGTCACTTCCAAACAAGCCAAGTCAGTCATTCGGTAGAGGAAATAGACTCACAAGTTAAAAATATTCAACACAGGTAGTTCAGCAAGTTCAAACTGAGGTGAGCCAGTGCAATGTTCAGCGAGATTAAAATAAACATTAATCTACATCTGTGCAGGCCTCGGTCGGCAGGTTAAAGGGTAAAGTTCACGACAGTGCAATTAGAAAACAAGTCTGAGTTGTTTCAAAAGGTTAAGGAACGATAAAGAACATGGCAGCACGACTTGGGTTTGCATCTGATCCAACTCTAAAACTTTTCAACAATGACAATGCCAAACTGAAAACCTATTTATTTAAAAGGGCTTTTAATGTTTAGCTTTTAGTATTTCAATATTTAGTATTTAGTATTTTTTTTAAATCTCTTTTACCTTTTATTCTGGCTGCGTTTTTAATTTGCACTGATTTATTGTGTCCTATTTTTATTTTGTTGTATCTTGTAAAGCACCTTGGTCAATGCAAGGCGTTGTTGCAAGGTGCTGTAGAAATAAAGTTTATTATTATTATTATTATTATTATTATTATTATTATTATTATTAATTATGTTTGAACAGATGAGACCAAAGATGTTTAGTGAAAGCTCAAACCCATAAAATCAGCACAAACACTTCAGTCAGTTGTTAAGCACGGGGGTGGAGAGGTCATGATCTGGGCTTGTTTCATCTGCGGGGCCATCTGTGACGACTGAAGCTTGGTCCAAACTGGGTCAAAGACCAGGACCAGCACCACAGCTACACAAACATCAACTTGATGCTGCTTCGCAGTCATCATCTGTTATTCTTCTTCTTAGATTTTAAATACCTTGTTTCAGTACCGGTGTTAATTCATTTTGTTCTGTTATTTAAATCATTAGAAATAAAAGAGAGTAGTTTATTTTTCACCACAGCTCTATTTTTAATCCATGTAATTCCATACTCTTGGTCCACTGTCCCATCAGCTGTTTAGGTTCTAAAAGCACTCTGTTCCCCACATCACAGTGACATAAGCACCGGCCTGCTGAGCAGGTGTAATAGAAGCAGCTGCTGCTGCAGGTTCTGTACTGGAACAGCCTGAAGAGGGCAGTGCTCACTTAGTGAGTGGACTCACGGGGAGCAGGTTCAGGTCCAAGAGAAGATCAAGCAACTCTCCTGAGTGTGCATGCCTCACATTTCACCTGCTTTCTGTGTTTTAATTACAGATCGTAAAAGAGACGTGGGGATGATTGGGAAGATTCTTTCTCATCTACTTGGAAACTCGGGGGAGGACCCAGAAGCAGCAGATGATGCTCACGATAAGATGACTGAGTTTGAGGAGGAGGGATGGGTCGTTGTTAACCTCCCAGGTGAGAAACGACTCCCAGTTTTGGTCATTTCCATTATTTTTAGTGTTGGTGGGATACTAACTGATCTGTTTGTACTGGAAACAGAGGACGGACCCCTGTTGGCCCCTGAAGCGAACCCTTTTGAGAACCTGCTGATTGAGCACCCCAGTATGTCTGTCTACCAGATGAGGTGCACGTTGGCTGAAGCCGAGGAGGAGGAGGAGTTAGTTTCTGATGAAGATGAGGAGGAAACCTCCAGGTTACTTTCTGTTTTTACATCCTTACTGTAGGGATTGTGGTCTGTTTCCTGGTGTTTAGTCCCATCTTGTGTTGTGTTTATGTCTTGTGTCCTTCTTATCCTCAGTTTCTGTTCTTTATAGGCTTTGTGTTTTCCTAGTGTATGTCTCCATCTGGTGTTGTGTCTGTTCCTGCACTCCCTGGTTTCCTAGTTCATCATTTCCCCATATGTGTTTCAGCTGTGTGTCCTCACAGGTGTTTTGTCTCATTAGTCACTGTATATAAGTCTGTGTCTCTGTGTTAGTCCTTTGTCCTGGCATTGTAAGCTGTCTACTGGTGATGTCCTGTCTACTCCATGTGATTTATGCAAGTCTTGCTGCACCATCAACCTTTTTTTGAATTCTTGTTAATATCTCCTGAGTCTGCTACTGCCTGCCTGCCTGCCTGCACCATTGGGTTTACCTTCCCCAGCTTTTTACGACACTTACATAAACACAAAATTATCTTTAGGCAACACAGTGGCACAGTTGATAGAGCTGCTGCCTCGCAGCGAGAAGGTCACTGGTTCAAATCCCAGCCCGGGACCTTTCTGGGTGGAGTTTGCATGTTCTCTCCGTGCACGCGTGCGTTTTTTCCGGGTACTCCAGTTTCCTCCCACAGACCAAAAACATGCATGTTAGGCTGATTGGTAAATCTAAATTGTCCCTAGGTGTGAGTGAGAGAGTGAATTGTTGTTTGTCTCGTTTGTCTCTATGTGTCCCTGTGATGGACCTGTCCAGGGTATCCCCCGCCTCTCGCACAGTGATAGCTGGACATGGGCGCCAATGACCCAAAAAGGAAGAAGCGAGTAAAGATAATGGATGGATGGATGGATAGATGGTTTTTAGACATTGAGTCTGAAACAAATGATCACTTCTCAGTTATCCTTTTCTGAAATAACTCAGAGCTTAAAACACAAATCCACCAACCAGAAAGTGCCACAAAACACGACTTACTGAACCACTTTACTCATCATAGTACACTGTTCTGTATTGCTTTTTTTTATGAATTAATTTAATTCCAAGGACCTAGAACTTCATGTAAAAGCTCCACTTTAAGCCGTGAAGAGACAGCTCCTCACCTTCAGGTCACACCTAGAGCAATTTAGGTCCTGTTTACATCACAGGACAAACTGGTTCAGATGACACAATTTAACCTTTTTTGTTGTTATCTACCTGAATGATTGAGCTTATAAACCTTTTTTTACACGAGAACAATCTTTGGAAATGTTGGTGTTTTTTCAATATTTATTGGGGGTAATAAACAAACAAAAGAGCCACCAGTTTGCTGTTTACAGCCAGAACTAGCTATTCACATGTAAAAGGAGGACCATCAGCTGAACAATTGGTCGTTAGAGCCATTATAGCCATTCACAGAGGGCTGAGTGATGCAATAACAACAATCAATCGTTATGTTGATGGTCCTCCTTTTAAATGTGAATAGCTAGTTCTGGCTGCCAGCAGCAAACTGGTCGATTCACTAAGAGAAGGTGCTATTTATAAGACTGTTTGTTACAGCTCCTCAGACTGAAGAAGTCTTTTGGATAAAAGATGACACATTTGAACAAAGAAGAATGTCACAGCGAGCAAACTCGCATGTAAAGATTTGGCAATTATTTTATGCTGGACGCACTTCTTGATGCAATCTGGGCTCCAACAGGCAGCGTCAAGATTACAAGGCTGATTAGAGGAAACAGGGCATTCACTTAGAACTGGTGCTATTAACCAAATCCACCAACTTCATTAACTCGCATTGTAACGTTTCTTTTGATTCTGTGTAGGCCAGTGGCTGTGAGGCGGCACGTTTCCTGGCACCTTGCAGCCTGGGGGATCCCTCTGCCATGTAACGTCCACTTGCTGTCTGCTCAGAGGGCCAGGAGCCAGGCAGAGAGGAAGAAGCTGGGCCGCAGCGTTCTCCACAGGCAGAACCTGGTCAAGACACGGTTCTCCTCGGGAGACAAACGCTACGGTCACCTAAAGCGCCCTTGCCAGCACGTGTACAACTACTGAAACAAGCAAGAGGTCAGCAGTCAGTCTCTGGCACAGACTTACTCAGGTTTTCTGTCATTATGCAACCGTGCTTTAATAACTGTGCCTTAAACGAAACAAGATGTGAGGTTCACCTTGTGCAATGATGAAACGGCAAAGGTTTGCACTGCAGCCATCTGAAACCACTGAAAACAAATAAACCTCAGTCCTGCAACCACAACAAATACATAGATAAAAATCAAGTTATGCCTCTTAAGATGAAATACATTTGTGAGAAATGGTCATTTTTCTAAAAATCGTTAATATTGTAAACTATCAAATATGAAGAGCAGAGTTGTGTGGCTTGTGTGATTTTGAACAAAAGTGAGTTTTATTGTGCGTATCCATGTGTTTCAAAATGTTTGAGGTGTTCAGCAAGTTATTTTCATATTTCTTTTACTGATGTGTTTTATGACAATGTTCCAAATATAAAAGGCTGAAACCTGCAGAGTATTTTGTTTTCGTACATGATGATTATCATTTACTGCAGAGGGTCGTTTGTGTTTACCTGCCATGTTTGTTATTGACATGTACAGTATTCATGCCACGAAAAGATGTGATTTGAATTTCTTCAGCAATGGAATAAAAATGTTTGCTTTTCAGCTAATACTTTCTTTCTTGTGACAATTATCGTTGACGTACAAAAAAGATTTTCGATGCATGTAAAAAGCACAAAAAACATGAATAAAACTTGTTTTCGTAACTTGTTGGCTGCAGATGTTTATTATGGTTTTAAACATGATGAAGACATTGTGACGATCACAGAAAAAACATCTTTCACTGTCGAAGGTCTCGTATCTTTGCCATGAACCTCTTCACTCTGTCTGGGTCGACTGCATTGGCCCAGTGACCCCCAAGTTTAAAGTGAGAACCAATAATCACTGCATGGGCATCGAGGTAGCTTTCAATGTTGTCGTACGTCACTCCGGACCCAATTAGCACTGGGATTCTCACAGACTGGGAGACCTCTGCAAAAACACAGAGACAACAGAAGCAACCATAAGCCTACACACATACAGCTTCTAGTTAAACAATTTATCAAAGACTTTAGCTGTCACAAAACATCTGGTACAGAAAAAAGTTCTTTAATTGACTTTTAGTTAAAAGCAAATCTTTAATGGTTCACATTTTGGTCCGTCGTCATGAATGCCATGGTATTTTATATTATTTGGGATTACCTGTCTAAATAAAGGTTGAATGAATTTGTACATGGATGTTACACATTCAAAAAACGCTGAGATTAGGGCAAAGTATGGGCTAGTAAGGAGCTTTGAAAGCAACACTGTAACATGATTGTATTCATAAATTAGTACAAAAGCAGTACTGACAAAAAAACAAACATTTAAGCCAAAGGTTTTCAGTTTCTGTGAGAAAATGTGAGAAAATATGAACCGCTTTGAGGAAAAATTCAAGTTTTTTTAATTGTCATTCGCATCACATGTGGTACATGAGGTGGAATGAAATTGTGTACACCCAACAATACCAAAAATATAAAGTATACTGTAAAAAGAAACAGTATATGAGGATCTAGGTTATACACAACACTAATAATGTAAAATAATACGTCATATTAAACAGCAGCCCAAACATGAGTCTGTAGTGAGCAGATGGGTATGAATACAGCAGCTTAAAGGCAAGAGATCAGCAGCATGGATAATCAGCAGCACAGATTTAGTCACATATCACCAGTTAAAATGTCATTACAGTTATTCACGAGTCTAACTTAATCTTCAGGGTAGAAACTGTTCCTCAGTCTAGTGGTTCTACACTTAATGCTCCGCAACCACCTGCCTGAGGGGAGCGGGGCAAAAAGTTTGTGTGCTGGGTGAGTGGGGTCCTTCACAATGCAGGTGGTCTACATGAGAAAATGTGAAAAATGTTAAAGGGTTTGCATGTTTTTCACAAACTGTTCAGAAAACTGTTAAACGGTAAGAAAGTAGAAGATGCAAGAATCTGAGAATGCATTAAGCTCAGGTCTTTTGGGTGTTCAGGTCAATTTCCACACAATCGCCAAGTCTTTGTGAGACTTAGTTCGCTGTGGCGACTCCTGAAGAGAGCAGCCAAAAGAAGAAGAAAAAAATCTCAGGTTTTGGCTGGACAGGAGTGATCGCTGATCTCTGCAATGACTGAACCATCAGAACCAATCATTATGAAGTGATTCTACAATATGAATCACTGTACTGGCTTTATGGTGGATCAGATTTGCAAATTCTATTTCATAGACACCAAAGTTCATGCTCAATAATCCAGGTAAAAAAGCCAACATTGTTCAGTCATCTGGAACGTTTCTTTTTTTTGTGCTGAGACGTTTCATCCTTCATCCAAAGGACTTCTTCAATCTGAGGAGCCACCAAACAAACCAAGTCCCACAAACAGCACAGTGGAAAAAAAAAAAAACAGTTTGCTGGTGATAAGATGGCCTCCGGGGCCCGTCCTCTCCCCCGTCAACTCTTCTGAGAAATTCATGCCAAAGTGATTCAAAACACCAAAGTTCATGCACAATAATCCAGGTACAAAATCGAAGAATGTTCAGTCAGGTCTATATGGTCAGCTCAGATCTATTTCATAAACCTTTTGCAACGTCGTCCACTTTGTAAGACACAGTTATTTACATGGAATTATTGTTTGCAGGAGCAGACAGTATCAAGTAGCTGTAGCACTTCTGGTGCAGTCTAAAGACCTTTAGGCACGAATACTACATTATTTCTGCTGAAATGAACACGTAATGAGAAATAAACAATGGTGGATTTAATGATACGTTTGCATGAAGTCTTAAGAAATTGTGCAGACAAACAAACATTTAGCCCTCCCCACTACCCAGTTATGTTGCTCTTATTTTGAAATGTAACCGGAAGTTCTGTGTTAAGAGAGGCGGAAAGAGAAAAAAAAAAAAAAAAAAAAGAGAGGCGGAAAGAGAAGGTATGGAGACGTCGCCAATGTCGAACCAACTCACACCATCTGCCTGCTGTTATACTCAGGTTATACTTGCTTAATAAGTCTTCTGATACCTTCGTCTAGTCAGGTGTAGTCCATGAGATACACCTTCCTTTGGGAATGCCTATTCATCTGCACATACCTACTTGTTCTGTGTTGTAATGTTGTTAATAAAAGGTTCTTAAAAAAACCCAGGAGTGCTGGCCCTGCAGCCAACACATCAGACTGGCCCACCGGGGAAATCTCCAGATCTTCCCGATAACTTGACGGTGAAGTACGCAAAGGTGTGTGGTAACACAGATGATGCTACACATTCCTGATTTTTGTTGCGCATGCGTAACAGTTATGTGCACCTCTGCAAATGTGCGTTTGCGTGTCCTTTTCTGCGTTTCAGCACACATGAAACCTCGAGTGTGTCCTGCCAGCTGAATGTTTTAATCCTGGACGTCAAGCTGGAGACTTTGCTAAAAATAGGAGCCCTGGTCTGTCTGGCGGGTTCACTTTTCAGACATGGTGACCCCCAGGTGATCTGTACAAGCCTGTATTCATGCAAAACACTGGGACAAAGTCAGAGCATTGATATTTGATTGGTGATTCAAAATCAGCAGTAGAGATAGGTACACACTGTTTCATCACTGGCGGTGCAAAGACACGGACACTGCCGGTGCTCATATAATTTCCTACCACAATAAACTTCCCGTTTTACAATCTAGTGTAATAACATCACACTGTTACATGAGCATTTTTATAACTTAGTTTCCAAACATTTTAAAGCATTTTTACCTGAATGAATGACTTTCACAGCTCAGGTAACTGCATGTACATTAACACTTGTGCAATGTGTGTGAGTTATTCTAACAAGGTTAATATGCACTTTCATTAATTATATTTTCAAACTAAATGTATTTTCCCAGACATGACCACAAGTGTCAATGCTTTAATGTAAGGGTGCCCTCTCCTGGTCAAAGGGGGAGTAACATCTGAAACCATCTGATACATGATCAGTAAAAGGACCTGCGCTAAATCACAGAAACGTTCATAAACGTGCTGAGGCTTATAGCTCTGTACTGCTATTGAAGATGATGACAAAGCATAAAGCAGTGTGAGTCACAGATAGCTTTCGCTAAGAGACTTTACACCTACAGCTGGAAGAATGGCAGCCGTACCTCGGAGTTCTGCAGGGTCGGCCTGCTCTCCAGTCGCTGCTCCAGTGAGGATGAGTCCGTCTGAGAGGAAGAACTCTGCAGCTCGAGCTGTCTCTTTGATGGTCACGTCTGACGTCAGGGCATGAGAGCTGTGTGAACACACACATGCACGAGTACTGTGTAGCTAAAACATCAAGAGCTCCAAGTACCATTGTTAGGACAATTCATATAAAATGTTCACGGTGTTGAACTGATATCTTCTTAGATCTCTAAACCAGCAGACATTTCCCCACATTTCTTTTAGACGTCTTGTGTGGACATGTGGGACACATTGAACATGTTCCACTGCAGTTTGCAGACAGCCCCCTCCCTAAGCTTTTACATTTCTACAGTAAGCACCAAGAAGTGTTTGTCCACCTGAGTTACCAAGGTCATGTGAGGCTGCTGAAGCAGCTGAGGAGGCTTCGCTCACGCGAGGTCTCAACAGGGGCACAACCTGCTCATCAGTAACCCAGAGCTTTAACTGTTAAAGCAGCTGGGGAACCTAGGGTGCCCAAATCTCTAAAAATATATAGTTTTGTTTTCTAGACAAAAATATGTATGAAACGAGATCTCAGGGAGTGTCTCAGAATCCATCCATCCATTATCTTTACCCGCTTCTTCCTTTCTGGGCCACGGGGGTCACTAGTGTCCATATCCAGCCGTCACTGTGCGAGAGGTGGGGGACACCCTGGACAGGTCTTCAGTCCATCACAGGGATACATAGAGACAAACAACCATTCACTCTCTCACTCACACCTACCAATCAGCCTAACATGCATGTTTTTGGTCTGTGGGAGGAAACCGGAGTACCCGGAGAAAACCCACGCATGCACGGAGAACATGCAAACTCCACACAGAAAGACCCCTGGCCGGGATTCAATCCGGCAACCTTCGCACTGAGAGGTGGCAGCTCTACCACCCAGTTTCTCTTTGCTGCCCTAAAATTTGAGATCTCTATAAATTTTAGTTTATGAGTAAATGTATAAAATACTCCAGATTAATACAAGTTAAATAATAATAAAAAAAAACACTAGTTTTAAACACTGTAATGAAAAGTGCAACTAAAAAGTGGTGCAAGTCAATATTTTTTAGAGCCACTTTTTTTGCAGCAATCACAGCAGAAATATATTTTCAGGTACGTCTCAGAGTTTGGCACGTCTGGTCACTGGAACAGGTTGAATGAGCGCTGCTCGTCTGTAGCAATCTGTAAATCAAACAAGCAGTTCTTAGTTGAACTGAGGTCTAGACTTTGTCCGGGACATTCCAGATATTTAAAGAATTCTTCTTAAACAGCTGCAGTGTTGCTTCAGCAACGTGTTGAGGGTCATTGTGCTGCACCTCTGAAAGACTAACAGGTTTCCATCGATGCATTCTCTATATTTTGCTGCATCTGTCTTTCTTTTAACTCTGACCTGTTCCACAATCCATGCTGATAAAAAAGATGCCCATATCATGATGCTGCCATCACCATGCTTCACTGTGGCGTTGGTGTTCACATCATGATGAGAGGTGGTAAATTTAAACTAGACTGGATTTTGTCCTCAATGCCAAATAAGTTCAGATTTATCCTCATCTGACCACAGCATGTTCTTCAAACTGTTTATGCATTTTGGCCACTCAAGGTCTTTGGTGTTCATGCAGCCTCTAGCCTGGTGGTACATCTTACTACTTGGAATGGTGCTGATTCTGGAGGCTATCAGATCAGATACACGTATACCGAGATCATTTGGCACCTAAATTGCCCACAGGTGGGTCTTATGTATCTAATTATGTGGCTTCTGGTGGTAATGCCAGGAGCTTTCTAGCAAAGCAGGTGATTACATACATACGAACCACTTTTCAGGTACTGGTATGTATTTTTGTTCCTTTTGGAATATTTTAAGACTAGTTTTATTTTCCGTTTAGCTTCAGTGTTTTGTATTACGTTTAAATCCAATCTATCGTCAACAAGTTGACTACCCTTTAAAACTTGAAGTTAAGGCAACAAAACAGAACAAATCTCATGTCATGACGTCTGCACTGCTGGTGATGAGCAGGAACCCTGTGATGTCTAAGGCTTTGCACCTCTGAGTTGGATGGGCCTCAAACAGACCCTTGCCTTGCCACACTCTGTTTTCCCTGCAGTGTTCTTGTATCGGTCTTGGTCAAAGACACAGATCTTTGTATCTCCTTTCCATCTCTTTTTTGGTTAGTCTCTTGTTCTTGTTCCCTCAGCTGGCTCACTAAAGAGAAGCTGCTTTGGAATCTGTTCATCATCAATGTGGCATACACGGCTCAGCCAGGGGAGATGACTAGTCCTCACCATGGTTTATATGGTTGTGCATCATGTCTCTCCTCAGAACCTCTGTATGTTATGTGCTGCCACCATGTGACATTTAGAATGAGGTGCAGAGATTGCTGGTGGGACATTTCTAGCATGTGAAGATGTTTGGTTCAGGTTGACCAGGTCTCATTACCATACAGTAAAGTTGGAATTACTGTATTTTTCAGACTATAAGACACACTTAAAATCCTTTTAATTTTCTCAAAAATCAACAGTGAGCCTTATATATTAATTCTAGTTGTGCTTATTGACCTCGAACCGATTATTTCGCCTAATGCGCCCTATAATCCGGTGCGCCTTATAGTCTAAAAAATACAGTACTACTGTCTTGTAAACTGTCGTTTTGGTGCTGATGGACCGTGCCTTGCAACTGAAACTTCTTTTGTGGAGCCAACTGGAGATGTGGGCAGCTCTGTTGACCCTCTTGACAATATCTGGCTCAAGGTCACTATCATCTGTAAGGTCATCACCTAGATAGGTTCATATGTGCCTTTTCTTGATCTCATAGTCATCTATCTGGCTGCATGATGTCTCAGTGGTTAGCACTGTTGCCTCACAGCAAGAAGGTCCTGGGTCCAATCCCCAGTTGGACCCGGGGTCTTTATGTGTGGAGTTTGCAAGCTTTTCTCGTGCTTGCGTGGGTTTTCTCCGGGTACTCTGATTTCCCCCCACAGACCAAAAATATGCACGTTAGTATCAGGTTTATACAACGTCGACCCCCAAAGTAGCAGACCAAGGAAG